TGGCAGTCTAGCCGTACTTAAGTACGGCTAGCCACTTCGTAATATATATGTCAATTTCCGAATGTTTTGCACTATTGTCTTTGTACCTGCACAATGGTATTCAAAACTATCAAACAAGCTTTTTTTTTTATCAGGTAGTATCACTTCACAAAGTCAAGCTGATTTGAAAGATTTTGTATATAGAGACAAATGGAAATCTTGTTTCCTGACTACTATAATCCTTTCGAGCTTCTCATGTCATGTCTAAGTGGGTCAATTTCTTCTATAATTTCATTGGACGAACATCTAGCTACAAACTTGGCGTGTTTTGAATGAGACGTATGTCTCGATTACGAACCAACGCAGGCGGTTCTAGAAGAAGGCCACAAACACAAGCAGACTGACGCACACACACTTGACCTGAGTTTAAAACATTCGGAAATTGACCTAAATTATCCCCTTTCCAATGGGCGTAACTACTCGTAATGTCTTATCAGCTTGTGAGAGGGGGTTATTCGTCATGTGTTTGTAACACTTTATAAATAGAAAGCTATGAAAGATATTGAGCGTTATTTTCATCATCGGTTAACACACTCGGGCCCGCGGTGTGGCGAAAACACACTTTTCCCAGCACGCGTGCTGTACACCAACAGTACACACTGAGTGGAAGGACTTCCGTAACGAGCGACCACCCCATCAAACACAATAAAGAAGAGCAGGCCTAGAGTCTAGTAGACCTACCTAACCCTACCCCTACCCCAACAAGCCCTCAATCTGCTCTGTCTCATAGTGGTCGCTCGTTATGGAAGTCCTCCCCACTGAGTGACCCCGGAGGCCTGCCCGGCATGTCTGACGTAATCGGTTGCTGATAAGATATACGCATTTGGGCACAGACGCAGGATAAGAGTTAAGTACGGCTAGACTGGTAAAGTAAGGCTAGACAGCTGGGCTAGATTCTACGGCTAGACACGTACAGCTAGCCACTTCGTATTTAGATCTAGATCTAGACATGCAGATTAGGACTAGGTATAAATGTCTGTCCGCCTCTAGATAGATCTAGCATGGCCTAGATCTAGTTCCTAGATTCTAGATAGATTCTAGTATTGTCTAGAAATCTACTCAGTATCGTTCCTATTCCAAGTTATATAATAACATAGAGCCTCCTTAGATAAGCCTTAGAGTCTATTATAGAGCCTAGACTTGACTTAGTCTAGATAGCGGATCTCTAGATTTCTAGAATCTAGATTCTAGATTCGAATTTCAAATTTCCCCGTTCACCAAGGCTTTCCAAACATACCCGAGACAAGACGGCTTTCGTCTCAGACATTACGAGTCTGACCACAAACCATAACAAAAAAAATGAATAGCGGTTTCTGGGATGGGATTTGTTGACACTTTTAGCATGAACGCCGGAAGTTCAAATCCCGCAACATGCGCACTGAGCTATGGTATAACAATGCCAGGATTTACAGGCAATAATGACAAAAGTTCTTATTCAGGTGCAAGATGATGAGATAATAGGCTACTTTATTTCCCCCAGAGGGAAATTATTATCGAATCAATAAACAATCTCCCCCCCCAAAAAAAACAACAACAACCCAACAACAACCCAACAACATCAACGAAACAAAAACAAAAAAGCATACAGCCTAGTGCAGTCCAGATTATCTTGCTTGCAACGTTGGCCTCGATTTTCTCTGCTCGGATGATCTCAAAACACTAAGTACGTACATTGTATTTTTTTATCCTGGCCCTGGTCTTTTCCCTTCACCCACATTATTTAAGCTCTTGAAAAAACATTCTTGCTCTACCGCCGCCACTTTTGCCTGTAATTTTTCAAATGAGGACAGGATATTGTTATGTTTAAGGCCTTTACTTTATGTTGATTCAAGTAGTGTCCCCGGAACTGCGTTAAATTCTGTTTCTTCCCACTGTTGTCATTATAGTTACAAGTGCACGCCTGCGTCTTTCAGCACCGTCCCACTATAATTTCTATTCATTCCATGAATCTCCCAACAGTCTCCTTAGAAATTATTACATTTTTGTTGCCTCAAGTGCGATCCAAAATATACGCCTATACTCTCTCGCAATGTTAAATTTTAATGATAGGCGGGCCTAATTTTAATTTATTATCATTCACGGGCATGCAGTAATTTATGGGCTGATCATTCATAGCCTTTTTTATCACTTTTTTATTTTATAAATAAATTATATAAATACCGGTGGGCTAACATTTTATTAATCCCCGTGGGGAACTTAAATTTGGGTTACAATGGCAAACATATAAACATATTATATAAATTGCTACATAAATATGTGAATATAAATACAAACATCGCCGATGTCTGTCGCAGATCTGGCACTGGATGATGATGATAATGATGATAATCTCAAGGGTACACCCCGGCAGTGGCCACTCATCCGACCCCCCGTGTCACCGACACTCGCTTAACATTATTTTCAAGTCTGAACTCACTACTCTCTTAACCACTGGAGCCCCTTTTTTTAAATCGCATTGTGAAGGTTCTGTTTATTTTTCTCAATATATGATCCAGTTTTATTGTATTTAACCAGCTGGTAAGCTAACTAGCACGATAGCTAGCCAATCCTTGGATCTTGGGAGGCTATACTGTCTGCGATTATACCTATTCTCCAACCACAAGTAACCAAGTATAAGTATTGTAAACCTCTTTGACGACTGTAGTTTTGGTTCTTTTCTTACTTATCTATTTATTTAATTAATTGTTGTTGTTTGTTTGTTTTCTGGTGTGAAGGGGGATACATTTGCCATCAAATCTAAAAACGCCCCCACTCCCCCAGTTAAGCCTATAAGTTTTATTTGTTATACTTGCCTGATCTTCACACTTTTGTTTATAGTACAGCTGCTTTTTTTTTTAAAGAATAGGCCTATAAACAAGCATTCTGTTCCTTTACATTTAAAAATAACCCATGACGTCCACTTTCAAAGACGAAAATAATTATATCTGAGACGATGGACGAAATAGAGAAGAGCCAAATCGAAGCCAGTAAAATTAGGCTTACCTGTTAATTCCAAAATTTTTGAAGTGAGTTAGGAAGAAAAGGATGCTCAAATTCCTGCTGAAATAATATCCAAGCTCTTCATTTTGTCTAAATCTATGGACAGTGGCAAAATTCCAAAACATAGTTTGATTGTGTTTTCAGGGCTTTGCGCATGCATTGTAAATATATCACCAAGCGCCTATCACAAGTGTGAATTGAATAGATCTAGAACAGTAAACCTTATGGGTCATTTTACAATATATAGCGTCGAGCACTAAATAAAAGGATAACAAAGGAAGTTTTTTTCGTGGTCTGGATGTTAAGGTGTACGCCTCTCATTCAATATAAGTCCCGGGTTTGAATCCGGAGAGCGACGGAAATGTGTTTTCCTCTGAAAAAATGTTCTCCTTTCACATCCTTTCCTGCTCTCTAACAATGTTCTGTCGTCTGCTTTCGTCTCCACTTTCTTCACCCACCCCTCACCCCCTTTACCTCCTCCTCTGGGCTCCGGACTCTTTCTGCCTTCTGCAGTCTTTCTACTGCTATTCCTTGGCCCCTTCTTGCCGCTGTCTTTCACCCACACTCTTCATCTTAAGGTTGCTGAGGTTTATAGCTTAGGCTTCTTGAATAAGAGCGAAATATCTTGAAAGTCTTGTGTGCAAGTTGCGCACGTTAAAGATCTCTTGGTGGTCCAAAATTGATAAGAGTAGGCCTTGGCAGCCACCGGGCAAAATTCAAAATTTCCTACCAACTGAAAATGTTTAACGTGTCCCGCGTGCTCATATGACCCCATGCAGTTGCGAGAGCCATGAAACGCTTACCAAAAAAAAAAGTATATAAATGTCTAAAGCACGATTTTTGCTTTGGTCGTGACAATTTAAGGGTACCCGGCCGCACGAAATAAAAAATGCGATTATAAAACACATTATTCTCTCCTTCCCATCCCCGACCCCCCCTCTCTCTCTCTCTTTCTCTCTCTCTCTCTCTCTCTCTCTGTATATATATATACATGTATTTATTTCCCCTCCCCCCCATTTTCGGCCTTAGGTGATACTGCAAAATGGCCACTAAAGGCCAGAATAAGTCAGAAATTAGAAATGACAAACCATAAGGTGTATCAGGTTTTTCTCACAAGACAAAATGATAATTAGAAAAAAGTAACACTTTGGCTATAACAATATTATTAGCATGTTTTTTTTTCAAAGCCACCATACCATTAGGAAGGAAATACTCGTAGGCAAGATGTGGGGGGCAAACTTTTGACACTTGAAGCAGCGCAGAGATTTTGGCACATAGGGTCGCACGTCCAGGACAAAGTATAATATCCAAACGATGGCTGGAGGGTGGCACGAATCGAAAGTAAGAACACTCGTGTTCTTTAAAAATCTAGTCGCCTTGAGCCGAAGAGTAATCCGCCGGATTCGGACAACACCCTCTCAGTTTGCCACAATTTCCTCACTGGAGCAACCCTCCGGCTTATGGCTGTGGACCATGCCCTTAGACTGGTTGAATTTATTTTGTCGTTTGGAAACATAAGGAATACCACCGAATGTCGTGATCCGTTCAAGTCCGGCCAGTTCTTTTTCCGAAGCGGAGTTGACAAGGGGCACACCAGAGGGCGTTCGTAGGCATGTATCCCAGAGCATGTCGTAGTGCATCACCAGTCTTGGAAAGGTGATTTTCTGCGCATCTGTGCTGCAGATGGTCAAGTACGGCTGCAGCAGAAGTTCCGTGGGAGGAGAGAGGGAAGAGGGCGTCGTAAATGTCCTTT